AATGTCGGTTAGAACCCTTTCTGGTCCATGCTTATCCATCACAGTGCTTGCTGTTTCTTTGTGTAAGTGTGAGAAAATCATCTTTTCTCCCACTGACCATGCTCCTTCCTGAAGCTTCTTCACATGTAGCTCAAGACGGTTATTACCCTTTGGGATAAGGGAGGCCATCCATTTCCGTTGCCTTCTGGCAGCCTCCAGGGGCTCAGGACTGTCCCCTCCATCCTCTGTGACTGTGCCTAACCCCTCTAGGGTTCTGGACCTCCTGTGCCATGCCCTGTAGAGTAGGCTTCCCTATGAAGTTTTTGTTTGTTTTAATTAAAAATGATAGTAGAGAAACCAGCGGTATTGCTTAGTGGATAAAGGCAGGTTGCTGCCAAGCCTGAGGCCTGGCTGAGTTGGATCCCCAGGTGTAACATGAGGGCCGGCTTGTTGGGGTTACTGTCCCGCCCGGTACCCCACAGCGGGCAAACCCCAAAGAAAATCACACACAGGACTCCATAAGGTTATAAACTGATTGTCCCATTAGGTTAGGCTACTTATTAGTTCTTATAACTTACATTAATTCATTATCATTATCTATGTTAGCCATAATGGCTCAATACCTTTCTCAGCTGGGCAGCTTACATCTTTCCTCTCCGGTGGTCTGGGCAGAACTGCGGAGGGAGCTTCCTGCTTTCCAGAATACTCCTGTTCTCATTGCATCACCTCCACTTCCTGTCTGGTTTTCCCGCCTATACTGCCTGCCTGGCCAATCAGCGTTTTATTAAAATATGATTGACATAATACAGATAATTCTCCCATACCACCCAGGGGAACGAGAACTGACTCTTGAAAGTTATGGAGTACACGTGAACACACATACAAATAATATAAAATGGCAGAAAGAAAAGCCTGGTGCACCTGTTTCTTCCAAAGAATCCAAACAGTACTGCATTTCTGGTGCTCTGGAAGATGAGGCAGAAGAGTCAGGAATTCAAGAATAGGACTGGACTGCTTGAGATCCTGCTCCAAACTCCCCACCCCAAATACTTGCTTTTCCTGTTGCTTTGACTGTTGGAAAGATTGACCTAAACTTAATTTATTTATCATTTTTATTTATTCATTTTGAGATGGGGTCTCTCCTGGAACTCACTCTGTTGACTAGGCTAGCTAAGAACTCACTGAAAGCCCGGTGGTGGTGGCACACGCCTTTGATCCCAGCACTCAGGAGGCAGAGGTAGGCGAATCTCTTTGAGTTTGAGGTCAGCCTGGTCTACAGAGCAAGTTCCAGGACAGGCTCCACAGCTACACAGAGAAACCCTGTCTCAAAAAACAACCACCACCACCACAACAACAACAATAATAACAACAACAACAACAACACAACAACAACAACAAAAACAGAAAAAAATTAAACCCAACTCTTATGCTGCTGGAGTTCAGTTCCATACCACTGGGTGTCTGTCTCACAATCCCCTGCAACCAGCTCCAGTTCCAGGAGTCTTCTGGGTACTAAATATACAAAAGTATGTGTAAACATGGTAGCATGTCTATGTTGTACACATCATCACACTTTCAACACGGTTTAAATAAGATAAAATCTACAAATGTTGAGGATCCTAGTTCTCTCTCTCTCACATTTGGATTTTTTTTTTTTTGCTGTGTAATGATGTCATCTGTTTATTTAAAATTATTTCCCAATTTGCCTAATGATTTAGCAGGCTTTCTTTTAACTTTCACCTCAAACAATCAACGTGCTTTTGTATTTTATTTTAACCATGTGTGCTATTTTGACACTTTATTAATACCAGATTTCAGCACATTGTACAGATTTCAATTAGACCCTTGGTAGATATGGTCTTATTGCTGGATTCTTGGGATTTTGGTGATGGTGGCTCTTCCTTCAGGCTCTGTCTCCAACCTGCTGTAAGACTTACGCAGCACACTCCTCCATTCGAGGCCTCTTTATTGTCTTCAAAATATAAATGTAAATGTTTGTCTGTAGGTAAGGTCATGAGACTATGGCCCATCACTTTCATATACTCTCTTTTGTTTCTCTTCTTTGAAGAACAAAGCCTGGTCTTACTATGTAACCCCGGATGGTCTCAAGCTCAGGTATTCCTCTAGCCTCAGCCTCCAGTGCTGTTCCAGGTGTGAGCATCACAGATGCTTTACTATCGCTTGCATTTCTCTTTCTTTTCAGTTTATTTTCTCTTATTTGCTTTTATTTCATCTGTATTTGCTACTTCTTTATTTATAAAGCATAACCTTCCACACTCAAATAAACATGACTTCATTAAAAATAAGCATGAACCCAAATATTCTCAATCTAATGCACTTAGATCAGTAGGTAAGACTGCTTTCCTTAAATTTTCATTGGTTCCTACCTTTAAAAGCCAACCATAAAGTCATGCTTAAAAAATAAAGAATCTATAAGGACATAATATACATTTCAAAGACAAAAAATGCAATGATCCAATCTACTGTACAATTTATCAAAGTCAACAGAAGACAGTATAAGAATAGCCAAATTCAAATATATCACTTACAACACTCTCCTAAATAAAATCATTGAAGAACATGGATTTTCAGATATCTGCTAAGAAAAAAAATAGAGAGATGTGGGGGACAGAATGGGAAGATAAGTGTTATCTTCCCAAATAAAGCTACTTGGGTATCAGGAATTCAAGACTAAAGTTCTAAACCAGAATTTTAAACCTAACAGTTTGTTGGCTCTGGGGGTAAATCACAGTCACAGCATGCTGGGTTTAATCCCCAGTACCACTTCAGGGAAAGGGGGGTGACTTTTCCTTTTTTGGACAGAAACAGGGTAGGGAATTTCTCAATAATAGTTTGCTAATTATGTAAGAAACTGGACATGCCCCTTCCACCAGAGACAAACGAGCTCTCTCTGTAACACCGTCTCTAACATTACTAAGACAGTATGAATTACTTGGGTCAATTTCATGTTTAAACTATTTTAAATGATTAGTGTATGCAGAATTATTGGAGCTGAGTTATTTAAAACTCTTTGAATCATCATAATTGTATTTCCTTAGGCAAATCTGAGTGGTTGTTCTGACAGTGATGTGATGAGAATACGTGAGACCCTTGAAATTGTCCCTTTAAAAACATAATCTGTGTGATACAAAGTAGTAAGTAGCTTACATCTCACATCTTCTTAACAGAGAACTGTGTGCAAGCCTTATGAGAAAAAACTAGTAACAACATGCACTGCCTGTTTCTGGAGCCGCTGTGTACGCCCTCCCCAGGCTGCCCCTGTCGCACTGGGATTATTATAGGCACGTGCCTCTTTGCCCAGGTTTCTTTTTGTTTTGGTTTGGTTTTTTTGAGACAGGGTTTTTCTGTGCAGTTCCACCTGACCTTGAACTTCCTGTCCCCACCTCCAAAGTCCTTGGGATTGGTACACAGAGTGTGGTGCATCTCGCCTATTGGTCACCTGCTGTGGTTTTGTTATTAAAGGAGATATGCACACATATTGAAACTTTACATTTTCCTTTTAGGAAAAGAAGAAAAAGAAACACAGAGACAGGAAGTCATCTGACTGTGACAGCTCTGACTCTGAGAGTGATATGGGCAAGAAGGCGAGGCATGCGTCTAAAGACAGCAAGGCTACAAAGAAAAAGAAGAAGAAGAAGAAGCACAAGAAGCATAAGGAATGAGGGTGGACTGGGCCGTGGCTCCAGCAGCCCTGCTCCTGGAAAGACTCAGTAGTGAGAATATGGCCTCCCACCCCACTGACTTTGTCCCTGTGGTCTCAGATGGCTTCTCGTGCAGCAAGCAGCTTGAGAAGCTAGAGGGAAGCTCCCAAAATGTCTTTTCCATATTGCTTCTGATCCCTTTGCAAGTGACCCCTGCAGCCATTGCATTCTTATACACAATTTTCTCATTCAGCAGAAGGTTCTAGTAACATCCCCAGCTGCCACTACCAGAGCTGTTTTCTTTGCAGGAGGCCAAGTTAGAGCCACAGGTGCTACTGTGGAGGCGAGCCTGGCTGTTGTGGGAGAAGTGAACGGCACCCGCCTGCCTGCTATTTGGGACCAGTTGTGGGTGGACTCTGCAGCCTCTGTTGGCAGCAGGAGGAGAAATGTTGTTCCCCGTCTCCATTCCCTCAAAGTGAAGGCTGTGTGCGGTGACTGCTGAACCAGTGCTCTGAAGCCAAGGTCATTGCTCTGCTTTCTGTCTGTCACTGCGTGAGTGACTTCCATTTCAGGTCTCTGCTTAAATTCCTGGCATAAATGGAAATGTGTTTGGTTTTAAACTTTCCAGATGGCCTTATTCCTATAATCCTTCCTGAGTTATCTACAGACTTAGCACACTAGTTCACAGAATACACTTAATATGTCATCTGAGAGCCTGGAAAGAAGCCAAGCTGAGGCACAAACCAAGGCCACTAGAAGTCACAAAGTCACAGCTTTTGATTTTGTTTTTCGAGACAGGGTTTCTCTGTAGCTTTGGAGCCTGTCCTAGAACTCGCTCTGTAGAACAGACTGGCCTCGAACTCACAGAGGCCTGTCTGTTTTCTGAGTTCTGGGTTTAAAGGCATGCACCATCACCACTCAGCAAATCACAACTTTCTTGAGATTACTCTTGAGTCCCCTCTTCCATAGTGAAGACCTCATCCCCTGAGCTGATTAGAAAACCAGTAAGACTGTAACCTTGGGGGCTCGCTGGGGCATGAATGGGAACTTAGCAGTCTCCTCCCACCACAGTGATCCCTGGACCTTGTCCTGAGTCTGTACTCCAGAAGGAGGGTGACCGACCACAGCACACTGTAGAGTCAGTCCAGGTGTGTTCTGTGCAAAGTGGGTGTGAAGTGGCCACTCAGAGACAGCTATCCGACCATGGCGAGCCAGGATAAAGGATTGTAGAGGGCTGCTGTGCCCTCACCAGTGGCAGGAGACTGTCCACCTGGTCTCCTTACCAGAGCTGCTCTCCCGTGGCTTACAGGCTCTCATTTCACACAAAGGAAAGGAAGACCAAAATCTAAAGCAACTGGGTGACCTTGGCTCTGCTTTATTGACCTCGGAGCACCCTTTGGGTACAGTTTTAAAAAATAAATCACATACACAATGGGAATGAATCCAGGCTGGTGCCCTGAACTCCAGAAAAATCCCAACCAATGTGTATTTATACAAAACACCCCAGAGGAAAAAAATGAGGCAACATGGTGCTGAGTCGAGGGGTAGCCAGCTGGCAGAGGAACAGTCCGCGACAGCGTAGCAGCCTCACGCCTCCTTTTCATAAGTTCGGGTGCTCACTACATTGCCATGGGTGAGTGTCTGGAAGGAAAAACAGTGTCAGATGGGGCAGAGCAAGAGAGGGTGCTCTTCATCCTAAACAGCACTTGAATACCTACTATGTGCCAGGAACTTGACATTTTTTTTCTGATACAAATCTTTTAATATAGGTTTTATAATTCCTATTTTAGAGATTTTTGGGGAAATGGGCCCTTGAAAGAAGAGGTGAATTGGTCAAGATCCAGCACATTCCAGTTCCTCTTTCTTTTGTGTTTAGCACCTGCCTATTAAGGTGGTGCCTGGCACATAGTAGACAAACACGTGACTAAGAAGATCCAGAGCCTTGAGAAAACCGCTAATCCACCAACCTTTCCTCCCTCCCCTAACTACTATGATTGTGGTACAGTAGAGCCAAGCTGTGGTCGCCTTAGTCTAACTGCCTGGTGACTATGGTCCTGTTGTTATCTCCCTACCAAAGCTAGGCACATCACTCCTAACTCACTGGGGACCCCAGTCTCATGTGACTGAGATACAGTTAGCAGGTTCCACTGAGCCAGATGGGTCTGTGGTGCTGACATCACACTCTGTGCTTCTGGTGCAGGTGCCATCCACAAAGCTGCAGTCTCCTGGTGAAGCACTCAAACCTGTCCCAGAACAAATCTACAGTCCTGGTGTATCCCCTATCTAGGCCATCAGTATTTGCAGGAAGCCAGATACAGCAGACCCTGCTCCTGCAAATGTCCGCGGCCCACCCAGGAGAGGATGGAGTGGCCGCTGCTCCTAGAGAGCCGGGGACCAACTGGCCCTGCTTTCTTCCTCTTCCTGGGAAAGAGCAAGCGGGAGGAGGCGTTCATGGGCACCTGCTGCATTCTTCCCACTTGGATGGTGCTTTTGGCTCTGAATATACTGTCTTCCCAGCAGCCCTCACAGTTGATGTTACGAAGGCGATGTGTGCAGAGTGGGGCGACCTTTAGGCTGATACTTGAACCAAGGCTTGTGTGGAATTCCCATCCCTGCCTCTCATGTCCTAGTTCCTCTGACCCCCAGGGGAGGACCCAGACTGAAGGAAGCATGGCACTTGCTGTGCGGCACCGCCACTGCGCATCTTACCAGGATGAGTTTGCCGTCACATAGCTCCCTTACAAGCGTAGACTCTTGCCCGTCCCACTTCTGCACGTGGACAAGTTTGCCTCCATCCAGTGTCACGGTTGACTGTGGGAAGAGGTAGAGCCTAAGCTGTGACCAGGGCCAGAACTGAAGGGCAAGACAGACCAGGAACCTAACCAGTGCTGACTGCTGCTGGTGCTAGCCTCCAAGAGGACCTCAGGCTGAGGTGTAACTCAGTAGAGCCCAGTTCCAGGTCCTGTCAAGCCCACCCATTTCCCTGACACTACCCAAAGAGGAATCCGGAAGATCTTTCATATATCACTGCATATCAGTGTCTAAAAGATCCTTGGGATATATTGGAAAATTAGACTTCCTTTAGTTTATATCACGTGATCCCCCTCAACTGGCAAAAGAGCAGCAATCTCAAGGTCCCAGGACCAGGTGTCCTTGGAGTGTTCTTCAACTCCACTCCAGTGCCCATCTGGTCCCCAGTGCTGCCAGCCGCTATCAGCTGGTTTCTGTCTGGCATCTTCCCCAGGTTTCTCTTCTCTAGGAATTTGGGAGCTGTAGGCCAGAACTAGGCAACTCAGCAGGGTTTGTTGGGTAGACGTCTAGAAAGGTGATGGTTGTATTTGATCGCTCATCTCAGAATACTGTCTATATTCCACCTTCTGGAATATCTGCATTCCCATTGGCCCAAACATCCCAGCAGGCCACTGTTGTATTTCATGTGGGATCTGGTCCCACAAAAAGGCAGCAAGTCCAAGGATGTAGTTAAGCCTCCTTCATCCAAAATACATTGTCATCTCAGGCACCATCCCCTGCGCCACTGCTAGCCTGCTGTGTGGTCCTGGGCTGGGCTTCAGTTCGTCTGCATCTGCAAGACCAGCACCTACCCTGTTCCTTCTGGAGGCAGCTGTGTGGGAGAAAGAGCTAAAGAGAGCAACTTAGGGTTATGATGCAGGGGATACTGGTATAGGGACAATCTGTAGATATAGATGGCAACCACCCTAGGTTCTGTGCCTGAACCACTGCTGGGAAGTTTAGAGAAAGCTGCCACCACCATGAGGCAACTGAGCAACGCTGGAGGTAGGTGCTCCTTCCCATACCCTGAAATCAATACTTGGAGACTACAGGCACCCACAATATTCATGTTGGTGAGTGCACTTCCTGGAGCATAGCCCTGGTGTCAAGGGCAGTGGCCTAGCCTGGGGCCACAGAAGAGGAAACCTGTAAGTAAGGCTCAGGCTTTTGTTCCCAGTTGCCTCCTTTGCTGACAGAGCCTGGATGACCTCAGTCCAGGGCACTGACTTCTGGGCATCATTCCTGAAGCACTTCAGGTCACAGCCATGGCTGCTGAAGTCCTCAGAGCTACTGCATACCTTGGTGCACAAGGTCATCCAGCTGGGGCTGGAGACAAGGTCAGGAGAACATCTTGGCTCTGCTGCCCTCTTGAGTGGCAGCTGATAGATCCTTCCCAGGAAGGCGAGGAGAAACTAGGCCAGAGCTTGTACTTAGCCCCTGGGGCACCCAACACTGAACAGACTTTATGAACCTTGTTGGTCTAAATCTCTTGACAGGCTGACCCTTGAGATACAAAGTCAAGGAGCTAAGAGAGGGCCAGCCTCTTCCCCTACAGTGTCTCCGTACCCTCCATCCCTTTCTCTGACTCACCTTGACCTTCCTGTCGTCTGCCGTCACCTCATCGAACTCCACTCCTAGCTGGAAGCTGATCTCTGTGTTCTTGAAGGTGCTGTGTGTCTTTATGACCAAAGTGTCCCCGTTCTTCTCGATGATTGTGGTAGGCTTGGTCATGCTAGCCACCTGTCTGGTGGCAAAGCCCACACCTAAGGACAGGGGCAGATGGCCGAGAATGAGCTGGGGTGGAGAGGTGTTGTACAAGCTCAAAGAGGCATCTTGGGGAAGGAGGACCATAGTGGCCAGTGTCTTTGTGTGGCCATTTTTTCCCCTTCCGTCTTTTCCTTAGCTCTGCAGCTGTTGGACTCATGAGAAACACGAGGAATGTTGATACAATGGTGGAGTGAGGTCTCAAGGGGTATGAACTGCTTGTTTGACCCCTCAGCCCTGTCTCTGCAAGGGTTTGTAGATGTAAACACTGCGATGGAGTTTAAGCCCAGGGTCACAAATCAGATTGAAGCTGCTGAGCCCTGTGTCACCTCCAGAGCAGAGCAGCTGCTGCCTCTGGCCTCCTGAACACTCAGACCACAGACTGAAGGAAGAAGCAATAGTCAACAGCCCTGGATAAGGCTAGAGTCCCCTGGATAAGGACTGTCTGCTGTTTTTCACCCTGAAGTCGGGGGCGTCAGTGTTCCACCCTCTGTGTGTAGCATACTACAGCTCAAAGCCTTCAGGTCAGAAGTACAAGGGAGTCCTACAGACTTAAGGAGTGAGCTGAAGTCCTGGGGAGACTCCTGACATCAGCATTGGATCTGAGACCTGGGCAATTCCCAGGTGTCCACAGGCAGGTGAAGTACACAGACCCAGTAGGTCAAGCCTTCACCCCGCTTGGGTTGCAGCTTCCTTAGAATCTTCTATTGTTGACTCCCTGTCTCCTGGCCCTAGCACAGGCTGTGCTCAGAGAATGGGGCAAGAGGCAGCCCAATATAGGGATATGGTATGGGGCCTCCAAATATCCACCTGGCCATGTGTATTTGCTGGAAGCTCGCCATGGACAGCCATGTAAAGCCTGAAACAGCCCTATACATAGATTTTACTAGTCACAATTTACAAATGAGGCCTAGAGAGTGTGCTGTCTTATCCAAAGTCAAACAAGCCGAGCATAGTGACTCCTGCCAATAATCTCACTCAGGAGGCTGAAACAGGAGAAATGCCAAGAATTCAAGGCCAGCTTGAGCTTCGCAGCTCCAGAATGTGAGCTATAGTGAGACACTGTTTGAAAAAGGCAAAAACAAAACAAACCAACAACAACAAACAAAAATCTCAGTGTTTAGTGGCCTCGATTCCCAAACTGGGCTAAAGCGACCTTCTGTACCTGTAGTCACTTATACTAGACTGGCCTGCTCTGTTCTAAGAACCTGTTTCTGTAGGATAAGGTTTTGCCTGCTGGTGTCTGAGTGAACTGGGCCTCAAAAGTGAAGCAATTATTTTCCCAGGATCCACCCACAGGTGTAGGGTGCTAATGAAGCCAGTTACTGGTTGAGAGCTGGGGTGAGTCTGCTCTTCTCTGGACTTCTGCCCTTCTATATGTTCAGGCCAAATGGAGTAACATAAGAAGCTTGCTTTGCTCTGAGGGTGCCCCTTGGGACGATCAAGTGCTCAGCCTGCTGGAGACCCTGGTTTCTGTCAACACCCCAGCACAATGGCCTGAAGACAGCAAGCACTGAGGCACACCAAGGCTGGAAAGGAGGCCACAGCTCTGTTTCAGGACTTAGCAGTTTGACTTGGAGAGGCAGAACTAAACCTGGGCAATCTAGTACTCCCTACCCTATCAAGACCAGCGAACTCGCTGGGTGTGGGTACCTGCCTGTCACCCCCATGTTGGGGAGGCAAGAGGACAGCCAGGACTACACAGTGAGACCCTGTCTTAAAACAAAAATGAAGCCCAGTTTCCAAACTAGAGAATGCAGGGCTCTCAGGGTAGGTGCTGATGGGAGCTCTGGCTGGGGCGGAGGTTCAGCAGTCATGGTGTCTACTTAGCGTGTGCAAGGCCTTGGGTTCCACCCCCAGAACCAAAATGACAAAAATGCTTTGGGGGACCGTTTCAGAAAAGATCCAGAAATAGGTGAGAGGAACCTCCACACATGTCCTCAACATGTTGAGGATCCCTCAACATGTCATAATCCAGCCCTCTTCCCCCGGAAGAAGGAATAGAAATCTAGCTCAACCATGACATAGCCTAGTTTTCCCCCATCCCAACCTAGTAGACTAGAATGATATAGCCAAGGACATCACAGGAAGGGTCTTTACCTAAGGCCAAGGAAAGAAAGGAAGGGGTGGGGCCAGTCCTGGGGGAGAGGGTTATCATCTCCCACTCGCAAGCCTATGGTTGAAGTGGAAAGAACTCTAGGTGGTTCTGGCTTTTCAACTACTTGGAAGGTTGAGCTAGCAGGTAACAATTTAGAGGCCAGCCTGGGAAAGTTAGTGAGACCCTGCCTCACAAAGTAAAAAGGAAATGGAGGGGGCGGGTGTGATTCTGTGGTAGACCGCCTGCCTGGAATGCACAAGGCTCTAAGGTCAGTCTTCAGTCGTGACAAAAAAATCCTGGGCATTCCCATCAGATGAGGAACTTGCTCGCCCTGGGCTGCTTTTCTAACTAAAGAGTGGGGCTCTATTTTCACAGATCTTACCAATGAGGTCTCTGAAGCTTTGTTCTTCACTATCCCCAAATCACACTCCCCCTTCACAGCCCTTGACCTTGCTTCTGGCACCCTCTGCTGTATCCCAGACAACAGCTTTCTCCACCCTCTCCTTGGCACTGCACAGATGGGAGACCGGGGCTGTGGGCAAGCCCGTGTGTGGCAGTGGTCTTACCCTAGTCTACCAGCAGCGTGTCAGTCACTGATCGGGGAGCGGGTTGCACACACTGCAGGTGAACACACTGGTGAGAACCAGGGCACCTTCACTACCCCAACATGGAGGGGAAGGGACCATGGCGGTGTGCCCAGGTCGGTCTTCACATCTTCCCAGATCGAACTCACTAATTTTCCTTGGTCTTCCTCGGAATTCCTAGGTATTTCCTCCTACAATACAATCACACCTGCTCTAGTCCCTTTCCGAATTCAATTTCTAGACCACCCATGCTCCTGTTTGCTTCCTCCTGCTGTCAGCCTCCCTGCCTTCTGCTTTCACTCAACTTCTCTCTCACCTCCAGATCACAACCTTGCTTCCTAGAAAGCGCCTCCCAGCCCGGACCTCTGCAGCCACAGCTGCTTCCCCTTAGGCGCCTTCTCCCTAGATACCTCATTCCCCAGGTGAGTCGAACCGTGACAGCCCCCTCCCAGGAAGCCGGGATGCTCCAGTCCACGCCACCCTCGCGCGCGGGTATTCCAAGCCTGGACTGGCAGGGAGTGTGCAGGAGGCACACGGGGCACTCCAGCTGGAACTCAGCGTTCGGACCGGCTTCAGGGCCCTTCGCACCCGGGATCCTGCGCGCACGGTTCACTCACCGAGTGACTTCATGAATTCATCAAAATTCTTGCTGTCCACTAACTTCCAGGTGCCGACAAAGGCGTCCGCCATGGTGTAATGAGGAAGGAGGCGTGCAGGCACCCAGAACCACGGCTCCCGGACGGACGGAGGGCCTCTTTAAATAGCCCTCGCATCACATGATGAGCGTGGCCCACACCCCTTGCTCCCGAAATAGGAAGCCTAGGCTTGCACTCCCGCTAGGAGCTGGTGCCCTTCCCCCGCAAAACGCCGGGCACCTGTGTCGGCGCCATCCGCGATCCTGCCGGTGCCACTTAGTCCGTCCCTGCCCTGGCTGCGGGTCGCTCCCCGCAACCCAAGAAGAGCATCCACCATCCACAGCCACACCAAAAGGAAACTCGCTCTTAAGCTTGTGCCACGCTGGGAAAACATCGCCTGAACCACTTTTTTTTTTTTTTAATTCGTTTTTGTTTTACACTTGTTGTGTGCGTGCATGTGTAGGCGCGCGTATTGAGGGGTACGTTGCAACTCGCGAGAGTCATTTCTCGCCTTCCACTGTGCGGGTCCCAAGTATTGAGCTGAGGTCATCAGGCTTGGCAACAAGTGTCTTTACCTGCTGACCCATTTCACCAGTCCTAGGTCATCTTCCTGTAGAAGGTCGGGAGACTCTCGGAGGGTGGTGATGCGATCATCATAAGTAGAAGCGAATTGGAGCCCAGATAGCAAGCACGGTCTAGTGGCCCCCGAGCCCGCGTGCTCCCCGCAGAGTGGAGAGTAGTCGCCCTGGACACTGGATGACTGAGCTGCACTCACCTACATTGGGAGACCGTGACTTTGGTTCCCTCGTGCTAGCTCTACACGTGCTTGCCCCTCCCTGCGGAATGTCTCCTTCTTTTGCCTCTCTCCCTGGCAGTCCTGCTCCTCACCCAGAAAGTGCTCCAGGCTTTTCTGACCTCTGAGCTTGCGCTGGGGTCGTTCTGCGCTTACCTCCTTCAGAAATCCTGTCTATCCAGGTCGTTCTTCTGGCTGTGGCCACCTTAACGGCCAGAAAGCTGCAGCCCTCTGCTGCGGTCAGTCCTTCCTCTGATTTCTGCCTGCTTGTCACCTTAAAGCACTTTATTAAATAAGACCCGTGTTAGTGGTGATTGTTGCCTGCTTCAGGACATGGTCACTCTGAACTTTTCCCTTGTTAGCTGGTGCTATCCCCTTTATTTACCCGTGAGTAAAGAAAGCTCAGTGGAGCCCATTGCTCAGTTCAGCGGGTTTCTGTTTAATAATTACCAAATCAACGTCTCAAGTGCAGCCCAGTTGACCTTGAACTAAAGATCCCCACCCCTGTCTCTTCCTGAAATTACCGCCAGGTGCAGCTGGCCTGGCTGGATTCAACAGTCCTTTAGGGACCTGGAGGCAAGGGGTTCCTGAGCAGGAGGCCAGCCTGAGCTACACAGGGCAGGATCCTGTCTCAAAAAAGTAAGTTCCTGGTTTGTGCCAGCCCCGTTTTGGAAAAGACCAGAGGGAAGAAGGTACCGGCTGAAACAGTCTGTTCTGGGGGAATCACACAGCTAATGACCACAGGCGGGGCCTGCCCTAACCTGGGTACTCAGAGGAAAGGGGCTTAAGTGAGTTTCTGAGTGTGTGAGTCCCTACACAGGGGAGTGGTGTGCAGAGAACTTCAGCCTCTAGAAGGGGGTCCAGGGTAGTCATTCAGCAACCATCACCAGAGCCCTGGGGCCTGACTGGTACACCTGCAGTGTGGCAAAGCCTCCTTAGGTCTCTGTCCTCCTGGAAGTCCCTTCTTCCCACCCCCAGGCTGTTCTAGGAAAGAGGCCAATGAGGAAGAGTTCTTTCACCCCTCCCTACACCCAGGTCTCGATTCCTTTGGAGAACCCAGTTGCCAGAAGGCTGAGAGGCCCAATTTTGCCAAAGCTATAGGGACAGGCCTCAGGGTTGGGCCTGGAGCCTTGGTGACTTCAGCGCTAGAGCAGGTTCCTAGGGAGGGAGGACAGGGGTTGGTTTCTGATTCAAGGTCACAGGCTTTAGGGAAGGAGCCTCTTCTGTCAAGGACTGAGAAGCAGGAGAGACCTAGGGACCAGAGCCCTCTGCCTATAAGGACCCTGTGATGCTGTGCTGGAGAGCTGGGGCTGGCTGACAGCGGCCAGCAGGAAGCCCTGTGTCTGGACCTGATCTCAGCGGGTACTAATTGTGTGGTGTGACCTCAAGCAATTCACTTCAGCCACTCTGAGTCAATTTTAACTTTCAAATGGGAGATATTTGGAGATCATGAAAGAATATATTTAAAATTGTTTTTGTTTGCTATGACAGGGTCGCTACATAGCCCTGGCTGTCTTGGAACTCAATGTGTGGACCAGGGTAACTTCAAACTCAGAGATAGACTTTCCTCTCCCTCCTAGAGTGCTGGGATCAAAGCACACACCACTACACCCAACTCTGGATTTCTTTCTTTTTTCTTCTTTCTTCCTTTCCTTCTTTTTTCTTTTGGTTTTTTGAGACAGGCTCTACTGTGAAACCCTGGCTATCCTGGAACTCACCCCGTAGACAAGGCTGACCTTGAACTCAGAGACCCACCTACTTTTATAATCACTGGTAACCAGGTGGTGGTGGCGCAGACCTTTGAACCCAGCATTGGGGAAGCAAAGGCAAGCAGATCTCTGAGTTCAAGCCCAGCCTTGTCTACCGAGTGAGTTCCCGGACAGCCAAAGCTACACTGAGAAACACTATCTCTAGATAGATAGATAGATAGATAGATAAATGTATGTCATTGAAAGCTTAGGAAGATAAGATGGCTCATTGGGTAAAGGTACTTATAGTGCAACCATGGGGACTTCAGAACTGGGCCCAGTTGCTTTTGCCTGTTACCCCCTAACCACTAGTAGAGACACAAAGACAAGTGCATCATGGGGGGCTTGCTGGCGAGTCAGTCTAGCCACCAATGGGCTGGGAAGAAGGAGAAGAGGAGAGATGAGCCAATGGGATGGGCTGTGGCACAGGCTGATCCGTGCATCCATGGGGAAGGGAAGAAGCACACTCCACATCTCCAGCTGTTTCCTGGGCCTTCCCAGACAAGGATACCTCTACATGAGAGTGTCTACTAGCATGGAGGAGACTCTCAAGGTAGAGGCCAAAGAGGCTGAGCCAGGGCTCATGGAGAGCCTCTTTCTGCCCATCCCTAAGCCAAACAGTAGAAGTTGTTACAATGGGGCTCGCTGCCTCTGCCTGATGGAAGTCACTGGATCTTAGCTCTTTTTCCACTGTCCTGCAGACACTTGTAGTGAATGGCCGTGTTCATTTTATATTTTTATTTTATTTTTTATAATTTATTTAACTTTATTTTATGTGGATTAGTGTGAAGGTATCAGATCCCCAGAAACTGGAGTTACAGACAGTTGTTAGCTGTCATGTGGGTGCTGGGAATTGAACCTGGGTCCTCTGGATAAACAGCCAGTGCTCTTAACCACTGAGCCATCTCTCCAGCGTCCCCACCCCCCGTGTTCATTTTAGAAAGAAACCTACTTGGTACATCCCAGACCTGCCCTTTACTACCTGGAACACTGAAGCAAGCCCCTTGACTGTCAAGTCTCCTCACCCCTCCATAAAGGAAGGCATTTGAATTCTCGAAGCATGGAATAAAAGCAGAATTAATGGTCTCAGAGTATAACTCACTGGCAGAACATTTGTCCAGCATTTATGAGGCCCTGACCTTGACTCTTACATTTGAGGAGGTGGAAAATGAAGATAAATAAATAGAAACCCCAACACATTAATGTCCAATGAATAGTAATTTCCTTTATTTCTCCCTTCCAGGACCCCCAAGATACTTCTGACCCTGAGTCAGTAGGAAAGGATAGATATATAGCGTTTGTCACTGAGGCCATATAGTGGCCTCAGAATTGTGGATGAGTTTCCTCATTTCTGCATTTCTCTCTCTTTAAATAGTCCTTCTATTACTATTCCTTGAGCTGAGCTCAGCAGGGACCCAAGCTCAGAGGAGAATAGCAACCACAACCTCCTGAACACACACACACACACATACACACACACACACAGACAGAGAGAAAGAGAGAGAGAGAGAGAAAGAGAATAGAGGAACGCGGCCATGGAGGTGGGAGAGAATGTTCCTTCTGCCACTAGGAAATCTGTTTCCTTGTTCCTTTAAGAGCTCTAGGCCTGAGAGGACAAGCGATGGCAAAGGTACAGGTATACTCAACACCAGTGTGCTTCTGAGAAAACGCTGCCTGTGTCGGGTGCTTCCTGGGAAGAACAGTGTCATTCCCTGTCCAGGGACACCAGCTCAGAGAAGAGGGACACTGTGTCTTCTGGGAAAACAGCCCGTCTCTTGGTGGCTCATAGAATAAAACCCAAACTCGTTGGCTTGCTCTCCTCTCTCCTCTCTCCTTTCTCTAGTTAATTAATAAATCCTGTCATAAGAGTGTCTGAGTCTGGAGAGATGGTTCAGCAGTTAAGAGCACTGACTGCTACAGCCCACAACCCCAGAGAACCTAGACAACAAAGAGAACCCTAAGAGAGACACACATGGATCTACATGTGTGAAAAAGATAAGATCTCCTGAGTAAATTGGGAGCTCGGGGATCACAGGAAAGGGTAGAAGGGTGAGGAGAGGAAGGGAGGAGAGCAGAGAAAAATGTATAGCTCAATAAAAAACAATTAAAAAAAGAAGAAGAAAGAACACTGGCTGCTCTTCCAGAGGACCCGGGTTCCTTTCCCTGCATCTACATGGCAGCTCACACCTGCCTGTAACTCCAGTTCCAGAGTTTCTGATACCCTCACACAGACCTACATGTAAACAAAAGAGCAATGCACATTAAAAAGTAAAAATAGGGGCTGGAGAGATGGCTCAGTGGTTAAGAGCATTGCCTGCTCTTCCAAAGGTCCTGAGTTCAATTCCCAGCAACTGCATGGTGGTTCACAACCGTCTGTAAAGAGATCTGGTGCCCTCTTCCGGCCTGCAGGCACACATGCAGACAGAATGCTGAGAATACTGTATACATAATAAATAAATAAATCTTTTTAAAAAAAACTTTAAAAAAGTAAAAATAAATACATCATTAGAAGAAGAAGAAGAAGAAGAAGAAGAAGAAGAAGAAGAAGAAGAAGAAGAAGAAGAAGAAG